CTCTCTCTCTCTCTCTCTCTCTCTCTTTCCCTCTCTCCCTCTCTCACTCTCTGGTTATTATTACTCGACACAAAAGACTCACAAGGGATCACAAATCAACAAAAGCACAAACATATTTTATCATTTCAAACATAGATCTCCAAAGTATAACATAGGTTCGTGTCCATGGGACCCAGCACTACCAGTCAGTGTAGTCATTTTCCTGCGCTGTGGGCGCTTTGGTTCAGGGCAGCTGTACTCCACAATACATATTGTTGGGAAGCTACGTAAATTGTTTTTAGTCCAGAAAGCAAAATGTTCAAAAGAGACTGTGGTATAGGTTACAACATATGCTCCAGAAATATTAGTTTGTGGAAACAAATTCTAAATAAGTTGAAAAAACATGAAATTGTACATAATTTGGGTACAATCAACATAAAAAATACGCCGCTTTTAATCTTTTGATTGTACCCAAAGTGTGAATAATCTTACCTTTTTTTTTCTCTTCAATATTTAGAATTTGTTTCGACAAAATATCTCTGGAGCACATGCAACCAATGCCACAGATTAAGATACCACAATTTTTTTTTCTAATCAAAACTTTGGGCTTAGTACATTTATAAACAGCGGACCGAAGAAATGCACTTAGGGCTTTGGTTCCGAGTTGCCGCCATCACATTCGAATACAAGACTCAACAGATAATGCATCTTTTTTGTCTTTCATTAAAAGTCACAAATAAGCTGGTGGTAGTTAACAACACATCTGAAAAACACGCGTAAACATTTCATGCACTTTGAAACACACCTCCCCACTACGTCAAACAAGGATCAAAAGCTGGAAAGTGCCCTTCTACTTCTAAATCAAAAACTAGTGCTTTCGCACATTTTTGATTTAATGTGTACATCAGTAATTTGTAAAAGGCATCCAAATTATTAATCTGTGTCGTTACTGTTTTTGTTGTTATTGTTTTATTATGAGTCTACGTTATAGTTTCTCTTTAGTGGTCCATATTCTCAATGTGAATGTAGAATCGCAATAACAGGGTATATTATTATTCACTCATGAACATCATTTAGAGTCTAGCAACAACGAAATCATTAAACTTTTTCCTCCAAGACTGATCAATATCTTCAAAGGATAGGGCCTACCAAAAGAAGTCAATAAACAAAATCAGTATCATAATATTCAGAATATTATAATATTTCAGCGAATCCACAGCAGCATACATTTGAGTAAGTTCTATATATTCTGGACGATCCGCATTCATGTAATTACTGACTGCAGTTCGCTAATTCATAGAACTTGTGCCTGAACAGTTTCTTTAAATTTCATTGGAACCATACAAAAGAATATTACTATTAGCTAACCCACTGAAAGTAACCATTGTTTATAACGTCTACATTAGGCCAAAGTTTGAATAGTGTTCGTTTTGAGTCTCTTTTTTTTTAAATCTATAATTTTTACATTTCTCCTGCAGGTTGGCAAGGTGTAAAAACACGGGCTGAATGGACCATAATATAATGTGCTTTCTTCCCCAAGTGACTTTCTTTTTTTAAACTTCTGATGGCAGCAATTTCGTCTACCTCATCTTTCTATTACTGGGTGTGCCCATTGCGGATGGGATCGGGTCAGATCGGGTCTGGTCGGGTCGGGATGATCGCCCGACTCGTCGCCTAAAAATAAACGCGCTTGTTTTTGAGACGAAGAGTCGGGCGCAATCGGCTTGTGCCACGATGGCCGCTTTGCGCCCTCAATCTGGCTAGCAAACCGACCCGACTCGACCCAACCGGACCCGATCCCCCAATGGGCACCCCGTATTACAATTTATGTTTGATTAATTCCACTATGTTTTATGTATACTCTGGAAAATGACAATGTCGTATACTCTCCACTTAATGTGTACATGCAACAGTTTTCTCGTTTCAACATTCATATCCTGTTTTATTGTTCAATAACCTACGATTACGCTGTCAAATGCAAGCATGGTAATAGTTCATACCTTCAATAAATCCATAGCAGAGCCTTTTCCTCTTATTATTTATTACTTTCACATTGCACTTTATCTCAGCCTTTCCAGATTGTATTCCTGATAAACTTTGCTCCTGCCATCAGTTGTGTTATCATTGTCGGTACAATATTCAGACTCAGACTGTCGTGTTTTCTTTCAAGTTTGTCGTCGGCTGCTTCCATTTTTTGTGGGTTTGTTTTGCTTTTGTTTTATAATTCTTTTCTCTTCGTCCCGTGCTGCTTTCATAATTATGCCAGTTTGTTCTTCACGGGGCTGTCTCTAATGTTTGGCTTTGTAATGGCTTTAGCTTTTACACAAATGCACCTTTGCGGCACTCTCTCAATTATGGATTGCATAATTGTGGCATCGAATTACAAATTACACAGATCGGGCAATGAAGACTCAAGAACGAAGGGTTTACAATAGGCCTGCACACTAATTTGTCTCATTTCATCCACCTCCCGTTTTGTCATACGCAATGAACAATCTGTTTCACAGACTCAATTGGGCGCAAATACATTAACTAATCGAACAGAGTCGCCATGCCTATTTTTGTTGGAGTTTTTAAAAAAAATCTTATTAAGTGGGAAAACGAGGTGTGTTTGTGGGAGGGGAGGGGGCATGAAAGGAGAAGTATGCCTCAGAAGAATTTGCACCAAGTTATCCATCATACTTAAGTTTCATTTATCAACCCGTATTTATCTTTGCCTCTCTGATTTGAATTAATAGTCGATGTTTGATGTAATAGCAGCCATGGTGCACTTTCTCTGCATTTCTTTCTTATAATTCTAATATAATGAAATCGAAGAAATTTCAACTTACGATACGTCGCCTTTAAAAGAAAAAAACAACAACACAAGAATACCATTTTCGTATACGTTTTATGAATATCTAAAACAGCTTCATCCTGTGTTCTTGCTGCGACAGAAAGTTCTTTTTTTTTCCTTTTTTTTTTAAAGCGGACGCTTTCCTGTTTCTTGTGGCACGGTATGAAAGTGGGATTGAGTATTCCAATGGCAGGGACATGTGCCAGACTGCTGACACTTAATATATCTAAACACGCATTTCAGCAAGAAAAAGAACACTATGACGAGAAAATGAGGTTTAAAACAGATAGAAGTCTACGCTCCTCTCTCTCTCTCTCTTTCTCTCTCTCTGTCTCTCTCTCTCTCTCTCTCTCTCTCTCTCTCTCTCTCTCTCTCTCTCTCTCTCTCTCTCTCTCTCTCAACACAGCCATATACACATATATACATGCTCACAAAAATCTCACTCCCATAACGCTCGAATAACCAATTTCCGAGAGCAAACATCACATAAACATTCTATTTTGAGAAAAGTATACTTTTCCCACATTATATACCTTTCATTATTCTCTCAGTATCAGACGCCCTCAGATGATCTAAGTTCAACTTGGCAAAAGTTAACATCAATATTATATTATAAACAATTCTGAGAAAAAGAAAGTGGACATCAGTTCGTGTACACTTTTCTGACATATTATGATAAAAGGTGCTTGTACTAGGAATCGAACACAGTCGTAAATTTCACTTACAAGGAAATATAACAATACATAATGACAAACGCTTCAAGTCGCGATAAGAGCCAGCCATTGCCAAGAGCTACGCCGGCGAAAACTTATTGCAGTGTTCTTTTCTCCGGTAACTATATGTAGATTTTCCCATCTTGTAGATAAGGAGCAAGCCAAGCCATTGGGCGTACGAGTGTCTCTTGTGCCATCCATCCCTGTGACACAACTGTTTGTGAATGATATCACTCTCTTCCACTTCCCAGGTCAGTCCGATCACTCTTAGAGCTCGATGGATTGAACTGAAACTGTCTCCTACTTAAGCCTTCCAGACCCCCGTCTGTGACAGAGAATGACTCCGTCCAACTCCGCTGTCATTATTATGAATGTAGTAACGCAGGGAGCCAAGCGGACTCGTAGAGAGGGGTGGAGGTCTTAAGGAGCAGGAAACGCTAGTGTAAATACAATATTCAAAAAGAGTGACCGGGGGGGGGGCAAAATAATTATGGTACAAGTGTTGTAGTACTCGCTGCTCTGACTTGGGTAGAGAACCCTGGCAAAGTTAGAGAACATTCATGCACATCAGCTCTGGCCAGTGAGAGTAAATTTTGTGAGCCAGTTCTTAACTGATCGTTTCATCACCATGTCTCACAGTATCAATAGGTTGTCGTTGAGAATAAAACGAATGGCCATTTTTATGACTGTTGTTAGTTCAGTCCGTTACAACTGCATCACAACTTGTATTTTCTACACAGTTTCTGACTGGCGACAGCACCAGCTCTTGTTCTCGTTTAGTACTTCCGGACAACGTGAAACAATGGGAGCTACTACCAAACGCAACAATGCAAATTGTTAGTGGCTTCAAAGTCAGCGAAATAGCACATCAGGACCACTTTGAATTGTATCGCTGTTATGGGTGCAAACGCTGATTTAAAACTTAACAAAACCTCACGCCTCTGGCAAGTGACGCACGCTGGCGATAAAGTTCTCTTCATCATGACAAATGAACGTTGCGTTTCGGACTGAAGAACTCCCGAAGTCGCAAACAGTGATGCTGTCGATGTAGACGACGGGCAAAAACCGCTGTAAAGGCTCTAACAATCTTCCGTCACAGAGAGCTCCTCTTCTTCCTCACTGCAGGGGTCTTCCTCGTCGTCATGTTCCACGTAAGTCGTGAGGTCGCTTCCATCAACGGATCTCCCTGACTCGCCATCTTGACCTTCTGTGTGTGACCCGGAAGAACCACCATCTTCTTCTGCCTTCATTCTCTTGTGCTTTGTACGGCGGTTCTGGAACCATACCTTGACCTGAGGAGAAATCCAGAATTTGGAGATTGTAAGTGAAAAGTATTGATCAACAATGGCGAAACATCAATCATAACTTGTTTTAGAAATTAATTAAGTTCGTAAAATAAGGCATTTAACGAATGACGTATTCAAAAAAAGGAAGACAAGCCACTTGCAAATTGCGATTTTTATTGAGATTCCTAAAACTATTTGCTTGAATGGGAATATCAAAACGTATGGCGAGGGTGCCCATTGTCATGAACTAAAGGAACAAGATAGAGGTTATGAGAGAATGAGAGAAAAAGAAAAAGTGAGAGCAAATCCGTTTTCAGTAAGAAAATGATGGGAAATGCCACTAAAACCCCGCGACTCTGAACGGACGAGTAACCCTGGTCATAGATTTGTCACGTCGCCTAACTGTAAAGGATGGCAAATACCCGTGTATCGCCAAAGATTATCAGCCCACACGCAGTCTCGTATGACGATCTTGTTTTCTTCGGCAATAGCGTATTAAGAAATCGCGGCGGCCACATAATGACAGGCTGTAAATGATTAGGAGAAGATTTATAGGGCCGTTTGCCCCATTTCACCCGAGCCAGCTCAACAGGGGCAGGCTATCGCTGTCCATATAATTGGAAAATCATAATAGAGTCATGGCGAGTGATTATCCCCCATTGATAGGCTTGATAGAAACCAGGCCAATCCCTTTTCGTCGCACTGTTTAGAAGAGGTCCACTAAACTGAGCTGTGCTGTTTTCAAGCCACTTCTTCCCTTCACTCCCTGGCTAGCTTCGTGCTGACGTATGCCTTCGACAATGCGTGGGAAGCTTGTGCTCTGCTTTGTGGTATGTGGTCTAGAAGCATAAGATTCGAACTAAATAAACAAACATATAAAACAACTACAATTTCACTCAGATGACTATGCAAGACGCCGTGTCAACAGAAAGGTATTATCAATCAGAAGAGCTTGCAACAATTGCACGCTTGCATAACTTGGATCTCTGTTATTGTTTGCGTGAGAAATTAGAGATTTTGTTCGTTAAAATCAATGAGACATTTGGATAGTATAGAACAAGCTGAGTGGAATTATAGACGACAATTAGAAGACAGTACACGTACGTACTATGCACGTTGTAATTCTGCATGATCCCCTAAAAGAAACAAACCCCCCCCCCCCCCCGTTTTCCCCCCAACCCCTACTCCTCCCCCCACCCCCCCCCCCCACCCACTCAAAGCACGAGCGATGTGTTGACGATGTTCTTCACGGTATCCCCGCCACGCCTGTTAGGGAATCGGGTCGTAACAACAAACGAGAATCCTCCGACGAGGTCTTGATTTCCCGAGCAATCATGGCGTCGGGTGACCCCCTCGGGACAACACGCGTCAGTAGCACTGGTGAGAAACCTTGCGCTTCCCGTTCATCGACTACCGACTCTGTTCTGCTCCACTCGAGAGGGGGAGGGGGGGGGAACAGTTTTCTCTCTGGAGAATTGAATCTCTCTCCCGAAAGGCGAGAGGTTCGGAGAGAATCTCTGCTGATACTGCCCCTCTTAACAAGATGTTGGCCCGCCGAGTGAATTCTTAATGCTCAGGCACACGACACGCAAGACGCGAAACAATCAAAGTAATCATGACGTCATTATCGCCGCGGTTCCGGCATCCGGCGGCAAAAGACCGGCAGAGACGGATGGTCTTGTGGATGGAGACAAATGTCCGAAAATTACAGGGAGGGGAGTCTGAGATCAAAAACCTGCCCCGCGCCGCCGCGTTCACAGCCAGGCCGCCCGACGACGGAAAGGGTCGGCTTCATTTTCGTGAATTGTCGCAAAATTGCTTCTATTGATGGGCAAGGGGGCGGGTTCAGCCCGGATAGTGATGGATGGTTGTAGTGTATTAAGACATTTTAATGTTCCGAAATATAGGGGCAAATCGGGGGTTTTCAAATGGTGAATGGACTGGCTTCGGATGGGAGGGATTAGCCGATCGTTTGTGGAGGGGAGGCAGGCTAACCATGATGCTCAAGGGTTATGTTATTGTAAGCCAGAATGGTTTTAGATTTTTCAGTTTATTAAAAAAAGAAAGAAAGAGGAAAACATGAGCTGTGCGAATTGAGACAGACGAGAGAGAAAACAGAGATGTACTTGTTATCACGTTTAGGGAAAATGAGAGATTAAGGGATTAAGACAATAAAATTAGATGATTTGTCACCCGTCACATGTTAGGGAAACACGCCAAAACATGAAAGAGAGAAGAAAAAGAACCCGATAAACAGCGTTGAGAATGGCTTGCCTGTTTCTTTCTACTGGAAACCGGCAATTACAAATTCATCCCATTGTTGTTGTTTTGGGGTGGGGGTTTTTTCTCTCTTTCTTTATCTTTTTTAAAACTCTCTTAATTTTTTGCACGCATACTTTCAAGAATGCGTTCCCGGATTAAACATTTGTCAGGGAAGAAATTACAAAAACAAAACTTTATTCATTGGTTCATCCAAACCTGCGCGCATTATTCATTCCGCCATTCATTTGTTTATTCTTTCTATTTCTTTCTTTCTTTCTTTTCTTACTTTTGTTCACTATTTTTTAATCTATGTTTTCATTAGCTTAATAATTCATATTTCAAATATCAATTTATGAATCTCCTCTTTATTCGCTTTAAAAAATTAATTAAAAGTATTATCTTGGCATATAAGAATGTATTCTTTTGTTTAATTCTTTATTGCTTACCACTGTATATTGGAACAGTGTGCTTATCTTATCTATAACTTAATTTGATTCAGTTTCTGTGTGTTTGCTATTTTATTTTTTTATTATTCTTTTCTGCCTGTTTCTTAATTTACCTTATTTATCTATTGTCTTAAAACTAAATACATTTTCTTTTTTACACAGTGTTCTATTTTCAGCTATGCAAAACATGCCATGGTTTTCTGTTGAATTTTGTTTGTTTGTGGGTTGTTTTTTTGTGTTTTTTGTCCGTAATTAATTCATGCGCGTATAGCAAGTTTTCTCTTTTTTTCTTTTCTTTTCTTTTTTTT